AAAATAATATATATATAAACACATAAAAACCTCTTTATATATATATATATATATATATATATATATATATATATATATATATATATATATATATATATATATATATTTGCCAAACATAAATTTAGAAAAATAAAATATTATTCACATATAGTAGTATATTAATTTTTGAGGAGATCATAAAGTCCTTAGATGGAGAAATTATTATGGCACATCATATATAATTTCACATTCGAAGTGATTAGAGATATGGATTTAATGGGGATATTATCATTAATATGAACTTATATATTGGAATGACATGGTTTTAGGCGAAGCCAAGAAAGTTGGATGAGAAGATATATGGAAATCTTATTTAAATTCCGCCACACCGACGCACAAACCGCACTCGCTATTTGGACGATACGTCCTCGTCAATAGCCACTGCGTTCGCAGGTGGGCGCTTACCGAAAGGAAGCCACCAAAATGGTCGGTGCCGTGTCTGAATCCGAGACAGGTAGCGAATCGCCCACCTTACTCGGCAACCTAACGCCTCTTCTTCCTCGTTCCCGCATTTGTTGCCTGGATCCCGTCCCCGCTTCTCTCCCTCCTCCTCTTGCCGACACGAGGAGTATAGAAGGAAGAAGAGAAGAGGAAACTGGACGTCTTCTTCTTCTTCTTCTTCCTACTCCTCTGGTCTAGGAGGGCATGGGGACGGATCGGACCTGTATTGGCGGGAACATGCGAGATCTTGATGAGCAGACGGGATCCAATCTCTAATAGAGTGTGGTGGGCTTAATTTCCTGCGCCGGATCGGAGGAAGAGGAGGGAATGGCGACCTGGAGGTACAAGGCTGGTTTGTTTCTCATTCTTGCGGTGGTCGTTATCTGGGTCGCCTCCGCCGAAGTCACCCAGGTCTAACCTAAACTCCTCTTATTGGTTTGGTTACTAAATAAAATCGGTTCATTATTGGATCTGTCTTCTCAAATGTAGTGCTGAAAATTGGTAAAAGATATCACGAATTCATTTGGCTTAAAATTGATTATGACATTCTGTCCTTTGAATTTCTATCTTACAATTTTTTTTTCGTTTGCTGTGTATTTAATTATCGAGATTACTTTAGAAAATGTCTCTTAGATTCTCGGAATTTTTGAGGTAACATGTCTTTTGTTTCGAGGGAAGTGAGATTTTAGGCATGGTGAGCTATTTTAATTGAATTTCTAGTTATTTATGCAAAACACCACAAGCATGAATCGCAATGCACACGGTTTTGCACTTATTTTATTATTTCTTTATCTCTTTTTACTACTTTTGCATGTGTTGTTCTCTATTAGTTGGTAAGATGATGCTATTTCAGATCCTTCTTTTGAGGCCTATTGTCAATTTTTAATTAATTAGACATTATGGCTAACTAATAGGTGATATTTCACTACATTTTGCTCATGTTTTTTTAATCTTTTGACCTCTTCTTCTTATTATTTTTTCTTGTGTCTGGTCCCTAGAACTAACTATCTTCTGTCCATTATTAGTACTATTAATTAGAAATCAAGGCTAATTATATATGTGATATTCTTACTGGATGTGTCCGTTAGAGAAGAGAGATTGGCTGTTTATATTATTTGGGTACATAGATGGAGAAAAGATCTCTTCTATTGCTTTCTCTTCCAAAACTTCTAAAACCCCTTTTCTCTTCCTTCCTTGGCGATGCTGTGCTTCTGTCAGGGGTTTGATTACATCGTATTGAGTGAAAATTTTAATGGAGATGATTATAGTGTCTTGAGAGAGAACTAATGAGCACCCATGCAACTTTATGGGGCATGTTTCTGTTAAAAGTTGACATACCTCAACCAAATGCAGTCTTTCTAACCCTTAGTTGTTATCATCATCTAGTATTGCTTGTTATTTTCAGCAGCAATTGCCAGCTAACCAGAATATATAACTGAATGAACAAGTAACAACTTTGTTTGTTGATAATAAATAGTTACTAGAGAAAATGATTACTAATGACTGCTTGGTTCCTCCCGTTCCTCATCTGATTTGTTTATATTGTAAATGCACTTCAGACATGACTGCCATCTTGATTTTTGTAGTAAAGTACATTGTTATCTATTGTTAATGACGGTTAAGGGGGATAAATATTAAGCTAGTTTGTGAGCCAAATAATACGTTTAATTGAGTGCATGTAGCAGTCCTAATATCTGGCTTACTTTGTGAACTTTTTTATGGAACTAAAATCAGTTTCTTCTTATAACATCTAACTTTCATGATCACTGTGATACAGGGTATATTTACAGACTACAAACAACCTTTTGCCATCACTTACTTGGGAGCCTCCCTTATGGTTATATATCTACCAGTAGCTTTTGTAAAAGATTGGTTATGTAATCTATTGAGAAAGAATTCTTCTAAAAGTGCTAGAAGTCCACAAATTGTCAACAATTCAGGACCTGGAATTAATTCTCCTGTAAAACATCATGACGTTCAGAAGTTGGTGGAAATGGAATCACAAGTACTTTTAACTAAGAAAGACAGTGACCTTGATCTTTCTGCACAAGAGGAGGAACACTCCCTCATTTCCAAAATTAGAGATGAAATTGATACTGAAGTTTTGAAGGAAAAAAGATCATTCACTGCTAAGGAGATTGCAACATATGCATTTTATCTTGCTCCTATTTGGTTTGTCACAGAGGTGAGGTTCAACCATTGTTTTCGTATATTCCTACCATGTCATATTCTGCTCCTAATGATTCATATGGTTAATAACAATATGTTTATATCACTTGTTATTCTGCTCCTGATGATTCATATGGTTAATAACAATATGTTTGCCCTGATGGTTTCTCAAACTATAAATGGTCTTGAAAGTTTTACTTGTACTTTTATTTTTCAAAAATTTTAAGACTGCATATGGTCCTCCAGAATTCTAACATTTGCTGTATATTTCTTTCATTTTGTTTTCTGCATCATCCTAATATTAGTTTCAACAAAACTCATGTTTTTTGTTTCTTTATGCTATAACTATATTTGTTAATTTTTTTGTAACTT